TATAGCATACTACCATACTTTAGGGAAGTTATTTAAACTCGTGCTCTAACATTAATTGCACTACCTAATTCCTGTTGAGTAATACCAAGAGAGATACGACGTAATTTAAGACGTTCACTTACAAATTTATCTATTCTTTTTTTTAAGATAGTTAATTCATCCATACTAACAATTAATTAATATACAATATATTCAACTAAGAATAGTATATCATTACAACTTAATCAAGTAACTTTTTAATATATAATATATAGATTTTTATTAACTTTTCTTACAGCTATACACTATTTATTCACTTACTATTATTAAGTAATTAATATTTATTATTTGTCTACTTATAATTTTATTTATAACTCAAATATAAATTTATTATAATCTCATTCTTTACATATTAATAAATAATTATTAAGTATTAATAATTAACTATAATATCTATTACATAAAACCTGGATATAGCCATTAAATTAATTGCTATTGACTAAATTCTAGTATAGTAATATAATCGCCTCGTTGTTTTAATTTTAAGGGATAGTTTTCATGTTCGCAATTATAAAAGCCGGTGGGAAACAATATAAAGTTGGTAAAAATAGTGTTATCAAGGTAGAAAAAATTGATGGTGAACGTGGTGCAACAATTCAACTTGATCAAGTTTTGATGATAGGTCAGGACTCAAAACCATCTTTTATAGGTACCCCTATGGTTAAAGGGGCTCTTGTTACTGCTGAAATTATTAATCAGCTTAGAAGTAGTAAAATTATAGTATTTAAGAAAAAACGTCGTCAAAATTATCGTCGTAAAGCTGGTCACAGGCAAGAATTAACTGAGTTAAAAATATTAGATATCACTAAACAATAACTAAGATAGGAATATTAGAAATGGCAACGAAAAAAGCAGGTGGTAGTTCTAGAAATGGTAGAGATTCTGCAGGACGTAGGTTAGGGGTAAAGAAATCTGATGGACAATATGTAATATCTGGTAATATTATTGTTAGGCAGAGAGGCACCAAGTTTTATCCTGGAGAAAATGTTGGTCTTGGTAGGGATCATACTTTATTTGCTTTGATTGAAGGAAAAGTTAAATTTTCTAGTAAGAAAAATCATAAAGTTGTTAATGTTATTAAGATAGCATAGTGCTAGCTAAAGAATTTTCTACTAAAGTGATTTCATAGTTGCATTTTTTAATATAGAATTAAGTAGATGATAGTTTTATTATTCCCTCTAGTTGTAGTTTGTATATAGAATGAACTGTATAAATAGATACGTAATTTTTTGTTATGCCACTAAATTGAATATAAATAAGTTTTAAGTCAGTATATGGTTGTTTTATACTAAGATACTTATTCTTTTTATAATTTTATGTTTTTATATCTTTAAAGTACATAACATGTGCTTTATTTGTTAATATAGGAAAGTTTAGTATAGTAAATATAATTGCTGTAAAGAAGTTATGTTTATAGTTAGAGCTATTTTTTACTATATCCTTACCATAAATTTTTATTATGGCCTTAATAGTTCAAAAATTCGGTGGTACTTCTGTTGCTAATCCTACAAGGATAAAAGAAATTTTTCCTCTGATTAAACTCGAAAAAGAGCGAGGCAATCAACTAATAATTATAGTTTCTGCTATGGCAGGTGTAACAAACCACCTAGTTACTTTATGTAATGAGATTTCTAGCTTAAACTATGATAATCAACTTGCAGAATATGATGTTGCCCTTTGTAGCGGTGAGATGGTTACTGCTGCTTTACTTGCTTTACAATTACAAGAAGAAGGAATAAGTGCTAGATCTATATTAGCTTGGCAATTACCTATCTTAACAAATTATAATCATAGTAAAGCTTTAGTAGAAGCAATCTCTACTAATATATTGATGCAATGTATAAATCAAGATATTATTCCTATAATTGCTGGATTTCAAGGAATTACTAGTAGTGGCAGATTAACTACTTTAGGACGTGGGGGATCAGATACAACGGCATCTTTAATTGCATCTATAATGAAAGCAGATCGATGTGATATATATACTGATGTTGAAGGTGTATTTACTGCTGATCCACGAATTGTTCCTAAAGCACAAAAATTAACACAAGTTACCTTTGAAGAAATGCTTGAATTTGCTTCTTCTGGTGCAAAGGTACTACATCCTAGATCAGTAGAAGTTGCTCTTAAATATCGTATTCCTATGCGTGTTCTATCATCATTTAGTATTAAAAGTGGGACATTAATTACATCAAAAGATAATATTATGGAAAATAGACTTATTACTGGTATTACTTCAAATAAGAACTTACTAAAAATATCAATAAATAATCCTAAAATAAGTTTTAACCATATTTGTAACTTAATGGTTATAAATAATATTCATATTGAATTGATGCTCAATATGAAGATTGACAAACAATATAATTTTATTACACAATTATCAGATAAAAATAGATTAGAAAACTTATTAGTTAATTTACAAAATAATAATCAAATAGTTAATTTCACTTTTGATACTAAAATAGCAATAATATCAATTATTGGTTATGGTATTAAAAACGATCCTAGTATTATAGTCAAAATATTAGAACAATTAGAAAAAGATTGTATATTAGTAACAATGATACAAATTTCTGAGATTAAAGTTTCAATTTTAATAGAAGATACTGATACTGAAAAAACAATACGTAATTTACATCAATTATTTGAATTAGATAAATAATAAACTAAATATATTTTATATTGTACTATCTTATTAATTATTTTATAATTTATCTTAAGTTAAAGATAAATTATACCTTATCAATTTATGTTTTTTAATAAAAAGCAAGTTATAGAGTCTTTTGTAACTATATTTTATATTGGAAAGCTAAAATATTGTCCTGGGACTTTTGGTTCTTTCATTGCTTTTCCATTATGTTATATTATAGTACAACTTATTATAACTAACCAAATTACTTTTTCATTTACTAAATTTACTTCCAATGAAGCTCAGCTTATTAGCCTTTTTATTATAGCGTTCGTCATATGTTCATTACTATTTATATTTGGTGCATATTTTTCATCAATATATAGTAAATCTATAATGCAACAAGACCCAAAAGAAATAGTTATTGATGAACTAGTTGGTCAAATGCTAGTAATAATTCTATGCTCTTTCTCTATAGTCTTTGTACATAATTCAAAAATTACAGAATATTTAAGTCCTAGAGCAATAGATTTAGTTTTTTTATTTATATTACCTTTCTGTTTATTTCGATTCTTTGATATATTAAAACCATGGCCTATTAATTGGATTGATCAGAATGTTAAAGGAGGTATTGGGATAATGTTAGATGATATTGTTGCTGCATTCCTTGCATCAGTTATACATTATATGATTATCTTTATTTTAATAGACTGAATTATTAGATCTTTAACCAGCATTAATATATAATGAGTAAAAAATTGCTTGAAAACTATATAAAGAGAACTTATAATTATGCTACAGGATAACTCAGGTGTTTTTCTTTATGAATAATATCTTTATACTAATAATTTTATTATTTTTTGTCGCTTGTTCAGAAGAAAATGATAAGACTAATAAAAGTGAAAATGCTAATCAACCTAAACAACATGTAGTAATATTTAAAGAAGAAAATAATCCTGTATCTGTTCTTAATGATGGAACAAAAGAACAAGAAGATAATATCTCACATGAAAATTATAAGTCAAAAAATGATGAAGTTTCATCTTCTTTAAATCAGAATACACATAATCAAGATAATATATTAGAATCACCTCCCACTTTTCATATTAGTAAAGGTGATATAGTATTAGGTAATATAAATTCAAATGTTGTTGTAGTTGAATATTTCTCACCAACTTGCCCACATTGTGCTTATTATAATAAGGTGGTTTTTCCACAGATTAAAGAAAAATATATTGATACTAACAAAATTATCTATATCATTCGTGAATTCATTGGTAGTGCGCAAGATTTAGATGCTGCAATTTTAGAGCGTTGCAATGGTACTGTAGAGAGTTTTTTACAGTTTCATAGTGTTTTATTAGCACAACAAAATCACTGGGCTTTTAATAGTAAATATCGTGAATCGTTGATGAATATTGCTAAAATTGGTGGTATATCTGATGAAACTTATGAAAAATGTCTTAAGAATAATGAAATTATAGAAATATTAATTGCTAACACTAAATTTGTTAGTAATATGCCTAAATTTGTTGGAACTCCTGCATTCTTTGTTAATGGGATACAAACAACAGGTTATAGCTTCACTTGTATATCTGATACCGTTGAGAAGACTTTAAAAAAGTGTAATGAGAATTCTAACTCATAAAGCAATTAACAATCTATGATTAAAAGCTAAACTATTAAAGCTGTTATATTTATTTTCAAAATAAAATTTTTATAAGAAATATTAAATAATTTTCTGTAAATAATAATATTATTATTGTATGATGTTACCTCTGATATCAATTTATAGGTTTTATCATTTATCTTAAAAAGATAATAGTTAGCAATGAAACAAAAAGAACTAACTGATATACAAAAAAGGATTAAAAAATTAAAATCAACTATTGTAGTAAAATCTGATACTTATAATGAGATTAATGCTTTTACTATAGCAGTAGATTTAGTTGCAAGTATAATGGTGGGCTTATTAATTGGGATTGGATTGGATAAGTTTTTCAGCTCTAAGCCAATATGTCTTATAGTATGTTTGATAATGGGTATATTAGCTGCTATTAAAATAATTTGGCAAAAAATTAAAATGAATAAATAAAATGTTACATAATCCTTTATCTCAATTTGAAATAAAAAAATTAGTAGGCATTAGTTTGTTTGGTTTTGATGTTAGTTTTACTAATTCCAGTTTCTATATGCTAACTGCAGGAATATTATCTTTCACATATTTAATTTTATCGTTAAAAAATAAGCAGATTATTCCTTCTAGGTTACAAATTAGCGCTGAAATATTATATGGTATGATTACAGAGATGTTAAGGCAAAATGTTGGTAGTGGAGGACAAAAATTTGCACCATTAATTTTTACTTTATTTATATTTATTTTGTTATGTAATTTACTTGGAATGATTCCATATGGTTTTACTGTTACTAGTCATATTGTAGTCACTTTTGCATTAGCAATTATGATATTTTTTCTAATAACAATTATAGGATTTGTTAAACATGGTATACATTTTTTATCGTTATTTTTACCACATGGTACACCCTGGTGGTTAGCACCATTAATGATTACTATTGAATTATTTGCTTATCTTGCAAGACCTGTCAGCCTATCTTTAAGATTAGCTGCTAATATGATTGCTGGTCATATTTTATTAAAGGTTGTAGCAGGGTTTGTCATTTCATTAATGATTTTCTTAAAATTTCTACCAATTCCTCTTATGATGATTCTTATTGGATTTGAAATTTTTGTTGCAATACTACAAGCTTACATATTTACAGTTCTTTCATGTGTATATTTGAATGATGCTGTAAATTTACATTAGGTTTTTGTTAATAATCACGAGTAATTAGTGATATTTAGTTTATATTATAAAAAAGAAAGGAGAATTTATATGGATATGATATATCTAAAGTTTATTGGTGTAGGTTTTATGGCTATTGGAATGTTAGGTGCCGCTCTTGGTGTAGGGAACATATTTAGTTCTTTATTAAATTCAATAGCCCGTAATCCTTCAGAAACTGAACAATTACAAAGACTCGCTCTTATTGGAGCTGGTCTTGCAGAAGCTATGGGATTGTTTTCATTTGTAATAGCAATGTTACTAATTTTTTCTTGAAGGTAAAAATATGCCTATATTTGATATTAACAATTATTGTTCTCAACTTTTTTGGTTAATAATTATTTTTGGGATTTTATATTTTCTAATAGGTAAACTTATATCACCTATAGTAGAACAAATTTTAAATAATAGAAGTAGTTCTATTGAAGATGACATTTCTAATGCAAGTAATCTTACTCAAAAAATTGCAGAACTTAAGGAAGAATATAATATAAAAATTAGTAACATATCATCTATTATCACGACAATTAGAAAAAATGCATTGGACAAATTGGAATTAGCCTTTACATCAAAAAAAACTAAATTACATAATGAATTGAATACACAGGTAAAGCAAAATTTAGCTGATATAGAATCAGTAAGTAAATTAATTATCATTAATGAGGAAGATGCTTGCATAAATTTAGCAAGTTTTATAATTACAAAAATTACTAGTGATAATATTGATTTAAAGTTACTCAAAGAATGTTATGACAAGATAAAATAATGTATTTTTTAAATGATGAATTTTGGTTAGCTATTAGTTTTTTACTTTTTTTATACTTTGTTTATAAGCCTATAAAAAAAGCGATTTTGACATCATTAGATGCCAAAATTTTAATAATAAAAGAACAAGTGTTAGAGGCAAAGAAGCTTAATGAAGATGCTACTTTATTATTCCAAGAGACTGAAAAACAGTTAAAACAAGTCAGCACTATACAAGATCAAATGTTAGAAAATAGTCAAAAAGAAACTGATAAGTTAATTGCAGAAAAAAATCAAGAACTAGAAAGATTTTTAGAACGAAAAAAACTTGAAACTATTAATTTAATTGACAATCAAGAACTACAAGCATGTAAAACACTACAACATGAATTGAATAATAGAGTAATTAGATTAGTTAAAGTTTATTTAAAATCTTTACCAAATAATTATCTATCAGATAGTGAAATTGCTGAAAAATTTATAAAACATCAATCTCATGACTATAATACATAATCTTTCCATATTAAAAAATAAGATAGATTATAACATTATTTTTTAGAGATTATTTATGATCTCTAATTTTTGAATTTAGGATATTTTATTTTTCAATAGAATAGTCACCATCATACTTACCTTCTATATCAATATATTTATTATCAATATTTAATTCTTATGTAAAAAAAGAAAAATAACTTGATAAATTTTTTTTAATAAAATAACATTTCTTACAATTTAAATTAAATCTATATTAAGGAGGCGACATAATGTTATTTAACAAAATATTTATTAACACTCTTTCTTTATTGGCTAGTACTGCTCATTTAATAACAGTAAGGGGCAATGCTAATTTAGGGTTACATCCTAATAATAACAACTTAACTTATTCTCTAGATAATTTATTAAATCAGAGTAATAATTTTAATGTACAAATGAACGAATCACCACATTGGTATCAAAGTTTTCAATATATAGAAAAAGAAAATCTTGACAGAGATGGTAATATTATAGAACCGAGTAACAGCACTGATGAGTATTTTAATCCTGAATTATTTTCTGTTCCTTCTAATAATACATCACAAAATATAAATAAGAGATTTATTCAGAACCTAACTTCTACAATACAGAATAATTATGTGATAGGAAATTTTTCTGATACTATCTCTCAAAATAATACTTTTGATGAGTTATCATTAAACGCAGAAAATCAACTAAATTCTACTAGAGCAAAATCTGATTTTAATTCTTTTACAGTAACTTTACCAGCTGATTTAGGTGAAATAAATTGTATTATTAATTATCCTGATTTACCAAGAACTAATAAAGAAATTAGTGCAGATATAATTGATACAGTTAATAAATTTGATGAATTATTTAATGGTGTATTATTAAGAAATAATAGTAGTTATAGTAAGGTAAGATGTACTCTTGACCTCTGTAAAGATTTTAAAATAGAGATGGGTGGGTTTTACCAAGACCCTGGCATAGGAATAAAAAGCCATTCACATAACGCTTATATACAGATATTACCATTTAGTATTGAGTATGATACTAGTCAAGAAATTAATACTAGTAATGAAATAAGAAATACTATTACTCATGAAGTATCTCATATGTTAACTGACATTATTACAAACTTATCAACAGAACTCAATCCAATTATAAGTGAGGGAATAGCAAAAATTGTGGAATATAGGTTAGATTATAATGCTAATTATAACATTGATAACGAAAGAGTTGGGCATGTCATATATGAAATAAAAAAGAATAATATAACTAGTTTTGATAAAGTTACACAAAGTTATGTCATGGATGTACATAGTTGGGGATATTCTTTCTTAGAATATTGTCATAGTTTAAATTCAGATGCAATAACGAACTATTTATTAAAATTAAGAACAGGAACTAATACAAATGCATTAAATGAATTATTTACGACTTGTAATTGGGATAATTTCATAAAATTTTTAGAATTAAATCAAGAAACTACCTCATTTACGTCTAACATATCATCAACATTTATATCTGAAGAAAACTTAACAGATTCAGTATCTATGAATCATACTTCTTATACAGCTCCTTCTATTATATCAAAATATCATAAAACATACCAGATATTGGGATTTGATGATAAATCTGAAAATATAATTCAGGGAGTGTTGCGAGATGATGAGGGATAGGTTATAATGTGATAAGAAAATAAGATAGTAAATAAATGTCAGAGCATCAAATAAAATCAAGAAACTACCTCATTTACGTCTAACATATCATCAACATTTATATCTGAAGAAAACTTAACAGATTCAGTATCTATGAATCATACTTCTTATACAGCTCCTTCTATTATATCAAAATATCAT